ACCGAAGAGAGGCACCAGAAACCAGAAGAAAGTGTCGTCCGATCCAAGGAGAAGCTCGTGGTTGGCATCATCCAGCAGTGCTGTGGTGTTGCTGGCAACAGCGTGCAGCGGCCAATGCTTGAAGCTCTCGTTGCGAGCGCCAGCCAACGCGATCGACAAGAAAGTCAAAGCGGCCATGGCGAGGGGAAGAGATGTGCGAAGGCATTCGTTGAACCCATTGGCGAAGCTCATGAACACGCCTGTCTCGTCATAGACCCTGAATTGCTGACGGATGACCAAAGCAACGATGAGCAGTGGGAAGGCCGCGAAGACGATACGGTAACGCATCCACAGCTTACCCATGCTTCCGAGGATGTCAACCCTCAAGTTGATCTCCACAGTGCTGTCGCAGGTTGGATCAGACCAGATCTGCAGCGACAACCCGTTCGTCGTCTGCTTAGGAGACAGCGTCGGCGGCATGTATGGCGAGACACCATGCAAATTAAGACTTGCATCCTTAACGTTGACGAAGAACTTGCTTTCATGGACATCGGTGATGTACTGTCTGAGCAAGGGTGCAAACAGCTCTCCGCGGTCGCAGGATTGCTTGCCAATGTGGACATTGTATGCTAACAAGGCCGAGTGCAAGGCTGGCACCTTGATGTCCATGGTCAAAGCTCGGCGAGCTGAGAGTCGGAAGTTCAAACCAGTGGTCAGGAGGCGTTGCAAGCCCATATCGACCTTGTATACAGAATCAGAGGCGTTGCTGAACTCAGCGACCACCCAGCCGGTGCTGCGTTCCCCTGACTTATCGACAACAGCAACGAACTGCTGCTCTGAGAGGTCCTTGAGATCGTATTGCAGATATGAGAAGGGATGCTGATCCGTCCTGAAGGGGAACGTAGACTGGCGTGTGGACTCTGGTAGCGCAATGACGTCTGATGCGGCGTTCTTGCAAGCCAGTCGAGTAGCACCAGAGCTGTCACCGGAGAGATCCATATTCATCGAGAAGAGCGCGGCTGATTGTCCGCTCTGATGAGTATGAACACTGCAGAATAGGACCTCCAATTTGCCGTTCTCGCCAGGTGCGTCCAGTTTTTCATTTGTCAGAAGCGCGAACTGCTTGCGGTAATGCTCGTCCTGAGGTGGCACAGGAAGCAGGTACGCCTTTGGCTTCTGCTGTGACTTGCCAAGGCTTCGCAGTACCAATTTCTCGCCCTGCGAGATGACTGCGCTGTCTTGCTCCAAGGTAAGCAATGTCTTTGCCTCTTTGTGCGGAAGTGTCTTCTCCGCAACGTCTTCAAGACCTGTCAGGAATTGCTTCTTGAAGCCACGCATACGCTCCGCGCGTGGAACGGTCTGGGTCGCTCTCGAGGCATCGATCACGTCGTACAGCGCGCGCACCACGCTCTTTCTCTCCTGGTCGCACCAAGTGATGGCCAGGTGGTCCATGCCAGTCCAGACGTGGGGCATGGAAGACGTGAAGACGGTGAAGCCGTGGGTCTCAGGAACCAAAGACGCAATACTAGCATAGTCTGATGATACCACAGTATCAAGACCACCACCAGCGATTGAGATCAAGGTGACGTGCCATAGCGGATTGTCGATAGCCCACTTCTGCGAGTACGCATGGCGCCAGTAGTCGTTGACGCCCTTGTACAGTCGGACAATGTCACCATCGAAGGACACGGGCGGCCTTGCGTGCGGCGCTGCGAGAGTGACAATGGTATTGATCGAGTTCGACTGGTAATTAGGCATGGTGAGCATGGTGCGAGCTACCATGCCCCCCATTGAGTGGCCCAGGATGACGACTGACGTGGGATCAGGCAGATTCGAGTCGCGTGCAGAGCGTCCTGGGGTGTGATATAGGGATAGAATGAATGTAATGGCATCGTTAAGGTATTCGGCCTGATCAAGCAACGTTTGACCGTGAAATGCTGTGAAGTCCTCGTTGAAGTCGACAGTGAAGAAGTCAAGCGGTCTTTTCCCGGCTCTGTTCGCGCTCTCGTCGTGTTTCAGAGCATTGTGGTAGTAGTATGCTGCTTCAGCTCCGAGCGGTCGCACTTGCTTGTAGCTGCCGGCGTTCCCTGGAATGAAGAGGACCGGCACGCCCTTGACCTGCGCCTGATTAGCTTGCACTTTGCGCCACCGTCGACGACACATACTCTGCTGTCCTCGTCAATACCGCCCTCACGATACAGGTACAACGAGTACTTGCTGGCGAAGCGCGTGTGCTCGGTGTCGAAGTCGTCGAAGTTGTGGAAGATAGGCCGCATGTACGACATCTCGCAGCCTTTGGTGTCGACTTGACGCGTCAAGAACGACTGCGTCATAAGAAACAGCGCGGTGAAGCCCAGCAGCGTCGTGGCCAGTGTGTACAGCGAGCACGCCCAGGGATTGCGCAGGCGTAACCTCCACCTCGTATTCTGTCCCTCGACCATGCTGTCTGACGTTATGTCTTTCGCCGGCGGTGCCGCAGCCGGACGTGCCTTCTCGCTTGACATGTCGGCGGTGGGCGCGGCGGTTGCAGAGGTGCTGGGTTGACGTCGTGTTGTGGCCGAGCGCTGGAATGACACATGCCCCTCTTCGCTCCTCCTCTTCGCTTCCTTCCAATGTGGTGTTCCCGCTGCTGTGCCTTCAGTCCGCGCCTTCACCACGTCGCCATGGTCCGGGGATTGTGCGGCCAGTATTTCGGGGGTAGAGACGGAGTGGTTGCGTCCAGGTCTTCGCCCTGACGGCGGGGACTGGCGCATTTAAAGAGGGCGCACAGCGTGGTCGCGCGTGGTTCCTGCTCCAAGATCGTGACCGCCAGTTCCAGGGTCCAGGGAACGTGCTCAGGTGGTGCGCAAGCACGGCGCTGCTGCCAGGCTCCTATCGCGGTTGTTTGGGGCGACTGCGGTCAAGTTGGAAGCGACAGGCGGTGTCGGCGTGGCTGCAATGGGTTTCCTGCGTGTTGTGGGCGTGCAGTGACTGCACATGGGAGCCGGGGAGAAATGTTGAGTGCTAATTGCGACTCGCGCACTTGGGGCAACGGGCGACGCAATTGCCAAGCAACGAATGGAGCGTCGAAGAAACGAGCGACAGATCGTCAACAGGGCACAGGGTGGACAGTGTGAGGGCCAGGAGGTGAGGGAATCCACCAAAGCACTGACAGCCTCCCGCACGCACGAGCAAGGTCAGAATGAGCGACGATGTTTACACATCATCGTGAGATCCGCTGGCCTCATGCAGACTCTTGCCTGGCGCGCGAGGCTTGCAGCTAAAGCTAACGAGCGATGACGACGATTCGACACCGGGATCCCACATAATGTCCGGCGGCGCCGCATAGCTCGGCACTATTCAAGACCTCGAGACAGCTTCCAAGCGCAGACATGTTTCAATCTGGTCTGGAGGCTTGGGAAACATGATTTCGAACGTGACTTTGAACAGGTTCTGCTCCTAGAGGCGTCCATTAGAGCTGCCGGTCGCCGCAGAAGCTGTTCACTACTGCACGTGGGCTGCCAGCCACTGCACAGCAAGCACTCGAAACGCTCGACACCCCACGCCACGCTATTGAAACGGACACAGACGCCTGCAGCCTCGCTCATGGTCGACGATGCCTTTTGGGAAGGCCATGATTACTGCGACGTCACGTTTGCACTCACATTCCAGATGACCTGTCAAAGTCAAGTTGGTAGTGTCGCCAGCAAGTGGCAGCACTTCCTCCTAGATAGCGCAACGGGGATCGACTGGCACCAAGATTTCAGGATTGGTGTTTGATGATCCTTGGTGCTCGTCAAACTCCAGAGTCCACGCGTGCACGCACATCGAGCGAACCAACCCTTGGGACCTCTGTTCGGAATCCGGCTCCGCACTCCTTGAGATCTTCCTCACAAACGCACCTCCAACCACAAGTCCTGACATGCTACACCTGCAGGTGTCGACGACCTTGTCTTGGCAGCACGATCGGTCTGAGACCAAACTCTTATCCATGGTCCCTGATTGGCTGCATAGGGACCTTTGGAAGCTGCGGCGTGCAGCCTTCACCCGTGCATTGCGCGTCTCTGGAGGAATTCCTTGGCACGCAGCTCTGAGGTCAAGTTTTACCATGGCATTGTAGTTCTTGATCGTATTGCATGCACTAGGATAGGTGTTGGGTTGTCTGAGAAGATGTGACGTGGCGGCAGTGTCAGTTTATTGTGAGAGATTTCTGGACAAAGGACCACATGTATTGCGCCGGCATGTTTAAACAAATACGAATGATGATGGCTGGGGATCGGGCGTTTCCAAATCTAGGAACGTCTATTTGTTATAGAGCGTGAGGAGGTGTAGGCTGTAGGTTGGTCTCGACAGACCATGCACTTAAGAAGGTAGCTTAGATAGACTTGCACAATCATATTCACAGGTACTGTATGCACTCTTCCTTAGATTTTTGATAAGCGAATAGGTGCAGCAACTATCCTACGATCAGTACGACGTTACTGAAGTACGTTCGTAGAGGATTTTACTAATCTTTGTATGTTTTGCGGGTTGCTCCTCTGGGTAGTTCTGCCCTTTTGTTGGCGCTTTTGCAAACATCGAAAAATCCCTGCGGCCACGCAACATGATTGAATATCACAAAACCTCCACAGCTCGGTATCGCACTCTCAATGAATTGCTTGACGAAGTTTCAAGTGAATCCAAGCGTGGTGTGGTTGCAGACTAACCATTGTACGTACGAAGCAAGTTGGCCTGCAGCATGACACTTGGACACACAAAGGCACAAACGCAATTGGACGCATCAAAGAGTTTTCGAATAGAAAGGTACAAAGACTATCCATATGCCGTGTACCTTCGATTATCCTTAACATCTCGACTTAAGCGAAAGGAAAAAAAGAAAAAAAACCAAACTTTGCAGGTTGAAAGCAGATTGACACAAAACCATCAAAGCAACAACAGCCAATTGCCCGCTCAAGAGACGTCTCCTACACCCAGAAAGCATACTGACAGTCACGTGAGCCACACAAACCTCAATAACGCCAGCACCCGTTCGCAACAAAAAAGGGTCCTGCCGCGACTCGAACGCGGGGCCTCTCGCAACAGTGCTTAGTGTTGGACGCTAGTCCCTAAGCGAGAATCATACCACTAGACCACAGGACCAATGAGCTCGTTGGAGCTTTTGATGAAGGAGTGAAAACGTTGTAAATTAATATAAAAGTCACAATGCAATTTGAATATTGAGGTGGAATAGACTTGCCCAAAAATTGAACGAGGGGCGGATGAAGATGAAGAAGACGAGAAGAACAATTTCCGAGCTCGGCCTTCGTTTTGGATGGACGTGCGTTGAGATATGGCCGAGTTTGGTGCGGTAGGGATGTGGTTTGGCTGTCAATCCTCAACACCACGACGACTCCAGAATAGCTCGAACAAACACGGGACGGTCGACCTCGACGGACCGAACACTGCAGCGAATTCTCAGAATTTATTACCCAGGCGGTGTTGAACAACATCGCAGTGAGCGCTGGCCTTAGTTGGTGTTCCTGGCTTCGGATGGACCGCCGCACACAGCGCCTACCATTGACTAATCTCAGCCCTACGACGTTCTGACTCGTAGAGAATCTCACTGGAGCAAATCGAATTAATTCTGACCATTGACTACGATAAGTATCTCTGCGCCCAAAAAATCGCTTCGTTCCGCTAAAGACCACGAAATGACCATACATCCTCGACCCACTGTCAAAGTCCGATTAGCACAATTCCCAGACGACAAAGACACCATCAGCAATTTGTTCCTGGCGTACGAAAAGCACCTCCTCGACACTGCGTCTGTGAAGCTCGACTTCCAGAACTTCGAGGATGAGTTGGCCAACTTACCCGGGAAGTACGCAGCAGAGAACAACGGTGCCTTGTGGCTCGCGTACACCTCAACGCCTTCTGCTCAAAATACACCCGCCGAGAATTTATCTACTGAAAACACAGCTGCAAAAGAGACGTCTATCGGTTGCATGGGCCTGCGCGCCTTCAACCCCGCCCAAGCCGAGCTCAAACGTCTGTACCTCTTACCCTCGGCGCGGGGAAGCGGCGTGAGCAAGGTGCTGATGGATGTCGCAATTGCACGAGCCCGGGATTTGGGGTACAGGGAGGTGCTCCTCGATACGTTGGGGAGCATGACAGCGGCACGGAGATTGTACGAGAAGTATGGGTTCAGAGAAATTGAGGCGTACTATGACAGCCATCCTGATGCGGTGTTCTATCGGTTGGGTTTGACACAGGTCGAAGAGAAGGATACATGAAGGCACACATATCACTTATATGTGTGTGTTCTTGGCTGAAGCGCTTCCGGACTGCTACCAGTACGCCACATGAACATTATCGCACCGCCTCGCACGTCCTGAGTCCTAATGGGTTCCCCTCGTCGTCCATCATGGAGCCTACGATCGATTCGAAGCCGCATGCGAAGTAGAACGACTCTTTCGGGTCGCTCGAGATCACGCTGGCGTGTACGTCCTCTTCACGTGCCCTCTCCAGACCCCAAAAGACGAGCTCGCGACCGAAGCCGCGGTGTTGGGAGGCTGAGTGCACCGCCAGGAGATGCAGGTACCAGCTGTCGGCGCGAGTGCCTTCGAAGTGGTGCGCAAAATACGGTTCGGCTTCTTGCAGGATGTTGGCAGTTGCTGAGTCGAGGGCGCGGTTGTGTGTTGATTTGAGTAGAGGGAAGGCGTGGGGACCTACATAGTTAATAAGATAGACTCTGCCATACATTGTACCTGGTATACCTGGGTCAATCCACTCATCTCGTACTCGTCGAGCTTGCTCATCGTCTCCCTTCCTCTGCCAGACTGCAACACCTACGACTTTGCGAGCATCCGGCTCTTCCTCTCCTACTACAGCTACAAGAATGACTTTACCCCTCTCTTGCCAGTCTGCGTGGAGCCATTCGTAATGGAAAATCTCCACGTCAACTGGAACGTCATCTGGAAACTCTTGCTTCGGGAGGATAACACGACAAAAGCAATCTTCTCCCCAGAATGCAGCAGCGCACAGGGCCGCAATTGCAGACTCATCTTCGACGCATATTGTGCGGATAGGCATATCAGAATCAGAAAGATAGTACATCACAAGAACATTGTGCCGCAGTTCAACAGCTCTATACCTGTTGCAGTGGGCGGTTGCTGACAGTGCTAACGGCAATCCAGCTTTGGCGCCATGTTGAGTCTACAACGGTACTGGAAGTCACAGGACGACCAAGTCTCCTTCGAACCATGTCGCTACGAGCGGAAGCAGTCCGGCTTGTATGTACGGCGTGTGTTGCCTCTTGGGGACTGACTTCTGTCAGCCCTAGAACCTCTGGGCCTCGGTTGCTGCACCGCAGATCCTGCCCATCCTTTCTGGAGGCAGGTACCGCTCATATGGTAAGTTCTCATCTATCTCATCGATCGTCGAGGTGCGATGCAGGGCAGACAGTAGTAGGTGTTTAGATGATGCGGGCACGGCAGAAAGATCTTAATGAGTGGGGAAGGCGCGACGCGTCTCTAGCGCGTCACGACGTGATCAACCCAGCTCCTTCTTCCTTTTACATAACAAACACAATAGCACCCGTCACTGTTCACACTGGGTCGCATTCACGAACCCCTTCGCTTGTGCGATAATGCAACGGCGGGCTCGCAATCGTATTACGGCCGACAAAATCGAGCAGATCCGCTCGAGGCACCTATTTTTGGCTCACGTACACATGCAAACCCTTTCGCTCTGAGCAGGATCACAAGGCTAGCCCCAAACATCGCGGATCTCCTTTGTTCCGTAAATCAGAATAATCGGATAGGCAAGTGGGATGGGAGGGTCAAGCTCCTCCGAACGGTGAGGGCGTCTGCGGATACATACCGATTGTGAGGCTTCAGTGGGCCTGGGTCTCCATCCTACATGTCTTTCGTACAAGACTCAGGGTAAAGTCCCAACGCCACACTCAGCGAGACCTGCTTACCGTTCCTCGATCTTCGTTTGCGTGATGAGGAAGCTGCAAGGCCCCGATAAGGCGCACAGGGGAGGAATCCGATTGGCCGCGTCTGAACCTGACCCAAACAGAAAAGCAACGGTCATTACAACACCACGACGACTGCTGCAAGGCTCAGTCGTCTGGAACCTTTCGCCGTTCAGGCAACCAACACTATCGCAATTGCTTTCTGTTGTTCGTCTCTCACTGCAGCCTTGTACGCTGCTCCTCGGCCCTTCTTGCAACACCCAGGCAGGAATCGCCCCAGTCTCAACGTGGGTCGCCATTTAGCATTGTGCCGAGCATAAGAGCGCAACACCTCGTCAGTATGGAATCCCCCCGCCATGGCGCTCCGGCGTTTCCACTTCTCCGGGTCTACCCCCTTGGTACCAATTCCGGGTAGCGGCCGCAAACGCTTGCCGTCCGGACACCATGCCGTAACGATGCACTCTGGAGCATGGGGTTTGCAGTCGCTCCGACTTGTCACGGCTCTGTCAAGAGTCCTCACCTTCTTGCAGTAGCAGGTTTTATCCTGGCAATCAATCGAATATTCGTTTTGGCGTTGCTACTTACTTACCGGGGTGCTTGCAAGATGCAACTCGACTGACCCGTCCTTGATTGGTCTGTCTCGCCTCGGACCCCAACTCTTGTCACTTCGAGAGTGAGGGAGAGGGTTCACAATCTTTTGATCGGTGCGGCAAGCATTTGCATTTCCCAGAGCCCTACATGTCTAATAAGCGCAGCAGTGACGCCAGGTAAGGTGGACCAACTGAGTTTCCTCCACCAAGAACATTACCCAGAGCTCCCCTCTAACTTGCTCTAGTGCTCAGACGAGCGTTCATTCGACATCTCTCGGACAACATGAAGCACAACTACACCAAGGGTAGCATGATCGGCTTGTCAGTGGCCTTCATGATCTTGCCGCTGGCCTTCATGTCCCTCCGCGCCTGGGCCAAGATCATGGGGAAGCGCTTCGCTATGGACGACTACCTCGCTGTGGGGGCGTTGGTGAATTCCATACGAAAGGACCATAGCTTTCTTCTGCTGACTGACGGCAGTTGATCTCGTTGACATGTTGCATACTGCAGTTGGCAAGTACGTTTATCATCACTTCTGGATTGCTGGTTGCTGATCGTAATCAGCTGCGTTACATGGGTATCTTGGGCAGCATCAGCCACTCGACGTAGATGGCAATCCCATCATGGACGACCCTGGGCTAATTTTCTTCGAAGAAGTAAGCGGGACCCTCGTGTCTAAGGTACATACTGACCTCACTCTCAGACGAAGTTCGCGCTGAACATGATCTCCATTATCGGTCTTGGGCTCATCAAGTCATCCATACTTGTCATGTACAAGAACATATTCGACACTCGCAAGTTTCGAACGGTTGTCTTTGTCGTTCTCGCATGTGTCATCGGTTGGACCATCAGCTTTACATTCTCGCATCTCTTTACGTGCTACCCCATCACGGTATTCATCGAGCCATACTATGGTAACAGCTGCGTGGAGACCGTGCCAATGTTTCTGGCTCTCTTAGTACGTCCCTACAAGCACTTCGGAAAAGACCAATGCTTTGTGGAGCTCAAGCGCTACAGATCGCATACTAACAGTCTCCAGCACACCGATGTTCTCGCCGACTTCGTCATTCTGATCCTTCCAATACCGATGGTGCTGAGCATCAAACTCGACATGAAGAAGAAGCTGGTTGTCATTGGCATGCTCATGCTAGGTGCAGCGTAGGTCCAAGAACACCATACTTGCAGTGGCTCCACTGACAACATAGTGTGTGCGCCGTGAGTGTCACGCGTGTGATAGCGACATATTCCATCGCGGAAGAGTACATCAAGCACCCGAACGACGTCATCTATTACACAGCGCCCGTGTTCTTCTGGACCAACATCGAGCTCTCTTTGGCAATAGTGTGCGCTTGCCTACCGACTTTACGGCCTATCTGGTTCCACTTCCGTCCTCGGCCTGCAACTACACACACCGGCTCAGGCTATGGCTCGTCCAAGCTGACAGGTACGAGGGCGAGTAGCTTTGGTGTCCAGTATGGAGGGTCCCGCAAGCCGTACCAAGAACTAGAAGAGGTGGAGCTTACTCAGTACGAAGGCACGGCCTCACAATCATCCGACTTTCCTTCGATGACAAACGAAAGAGGTATTCTCAA